AATTCCAACTATGAAGCAATCCCCCCCCCCCCCCCCCGTCTCCTTGCTCGTTGAATCGCCATAATTGAGCGAACGGATGCGAGACGAAGTCGAAGGTCGCAAATGACCGGATGAGAAGCGCGCGGAAGTGAGAAAAAAAGAAAGAAGGAAAAAAAGATGAGAAGACGGAACGGGAGAGCTTCGAGTCCGGGCGAGTTTTAAGCGTTAAAAGGGTTGCCTTTTTAACTCCGTGTTATCTCGGCGGCTGTGTTTAACGGCTCCATAAAGCTCGGTGCGAGCGTCTCCAGCTGTGATTAATCGCCGTGTACGAAAAGCGGCTATATCTCCTCCCTCGCGCCTTTATTAATGGATCCTCAAGACTCGGCTGCCATTATGTACCCGGCTGCATATTTATGACGTTTCGAGTTACTTAAATCCAGCGCGCAGCGCGAATTGCTCCGGCGATTCGCCCGGTCGGAGATTCACGTCGGTCCGTCGCGTCGCGAAATTGCTTGATTGAGTAGCGCGGAGGAAGAGGGGAGAGCGATAAAACGCAAGGAATTAAATGCTCGGCCGAGAGGCACGAGCAATTCTTGTCCAATCGTGATGACTGCAACCTAAAGTGAATTCTTCGCGAATTTAAAGAGACCAGATGAATCGTACGTTTTTATGGCGCCTATCACGATCGCTGGTGTAAAAAATTTTCCCCGCTCTCCGCCTGACGCGCGCAAACCAATTTGCTCCGTTGAAATTTATCAGGGGGGGTTTCGTGATACTCTCAACCGATATTATGCTCGGTCAGAGATAGATGCGAGATTAAAATAACAAATAAGTATCGATCGCAAAAATGTCTATGCCGCTTTTACGTCGCGTCAACGTCGGGACACGACACTTTTGTTTCGCGCTTTATTATTCACTCCATTATTCAACATGTTTAAGTTTCGTACGGGATTAACTGAAAAAATTATCTTGGCGGTGGCGGTGTATTTATATATATATATATGTTGACGGAGGGACGTTTGCGTTTTGACGAGCAAATCTGTTTTTCACGGATATTAGATTGAACGGCGAGTTTTTCCGAATTAAACGTGAAAGCCGCTTTCATATTAATGCTGCGCCTCAGGAAAATGATATTTCGTCGAAACTGGCAGCGCGTCGCGGTTAGCGATATTTATAACGGATATTTATTTCACGCGCACGTGGGCAAACCCACTCCGAGGTGCGCGCGTGACCGACAGAAATTACGTGCGATGTGAGGCGTGAAAAGCGCGACTTTATTAACAAGCCCCGTCGGCTGTCCAATCAGCCTGATATTTTCCTCATGTAAATTCGTTTTCCGCGCGTAGATTTTCCAGTCCGCCTTCCTTTCCTTCCCTGTTCCTTATTTCCTCGAGACGCGCGTGTCGCGCTAATAACGTCGCGACCGCGATCGTGAAGTAAGCTCGCCCTCAAACTAGCGTGTAATCCGACTGTTCACGTGACGTAGACGCGCACCGTGTTATATTGCGTCGAAATTTATTTCATCCAGTAATTCCTGCTTGCTTTTCTTCACTCACGGCAAAAATTGCTGGTCGCCGTTGCCGCGAGCTGCGATTTAATTATGGCCGGTGGAACGGCCGATGTCGAATTTCCGAATGGCAGATTGGCCGTATAATTTAAACGATTTCGAATTAATTAGTTGTTACATGGCGCGACGGTCCGGTTAAAGCAGCGGATAATGTAGAATTTGTAAGTCATTGTAATGAACATTGATATTTCGCTGTGCCCGTGCTGCAATTTGTGCGTCTGAATGGCGTGTCAAAATATGGGATTTGCGTTAATTGTAATAAGGACGTGCCGAAAAATCCGACATATTCCGCATTTGCTCTTCATATCCTCTCTCTCTCTCTCCCTCTCTTTCTCAGCAGGAATTTATTGCCACGATTACTGAATATTACTGAAATGTGTGCGGTCAAGCGTTTCTCGGACACACACAAAGAACGGGATATTCAGCGTCGCGAATTGCTCGCGTATTTCGTTTTAATATCGACCTACTTTTTCTTGACGCGATCTTTCATTACGGCTCACAGGCGCGCCGACAGAGGAGAGAGTTATTCCACTCGTGACAGTTAACAAGTGGAATAACCCGGCCGTTAGGGAGACGCGAGAACGATCGTTCAAATCTCTCTCCTTCTTTCTCGGCTCACGGGTTAATTTCCGCGGATACTACCGCGCCGTGACTTCGACGCTTCTCACGTAGCACTG